GGGGGGGGCGTGCGGCTTACTTTGAGATCTTCTCGAGCATGGCGGGCGTCAGCTCGCACTTGCTGCCAAAGCTGGAGGCCTTGGTGGTCAGCGTCTCCTTGGTCTGAGGTGGGGGGGGGCACAGCAACAGAGATTCAGCGGCGGCAGCTCAGAATATTGTGCACCACTACCCTGCTGCAGGGCTTGAGCGGGCCATCTAATATCCAAGGCGTGGGCGACAGTGTGCTGATGTGGGGTCGCGCCCCGCCGCCGTTCCTGGAAGCAGCGTGCAGGGGGAAGGGGGGGACGCGCGGGGTCACCTGCGAGTCGAAGGCGGGGTTCACGATCTGCGCGTTGGCAAACACCCAGAGGTGGTTCTTGACCATGAAGGGCTTCACGTTGGCGGTCTTGCTCTTCTTGTTGAGCTTCTCGCACATGTACCTGCGGGTGCGGCACGGGGGTGGGGGGGGAGAGGGGGGGGCGGCGGCGGGGATGAGTGCTGGGCCGCGCAAACGGGGCAGCCGCGGTCGCAGGCGGCGGATGGGGCGGCCGTGCAAGTAGCAAGAAGCTGCCCCTTCAAACAACCCGCAGACAGGAGGGGCCGCTTGCTTTGACCAACTGCCACTTTCCGCGCAGCACGCACGGCCACAGGCCACTTGATGAGGGACGGGACACATCAGCAGCCACAGCCCCCTGCTTCAGCCGGATGCGAGCTGCAGCACAGCGCCGGAACACGCAACGCGCGCGCAATCCAGATTGACCAGATCTTGACGCGCCCACTTTGAGATCTGGTTGACGAGGTAATCCACGTGCGTGCCGCCCTTGGAGGTGCAGATGCTATTGACGAACGACACCTGCTGGAACTGGCCGTCCGTGGCGCTGACGCAGATCTCCCACCTGCAGGAAAAAGGGGTGCAGGAAAAAAGGGGGCGGCAGGGAAGGGGTCAGTGTTGTGGGGTGGAAGGGAGGGCGGCGACTCTCAGCGCCTGGGGGAAGGAAGGGCGCCGGCTGCGGCCCGTGCTGACCGGGCTGCAACTGCAGGTGGGCAGCCGCGCGGCAGGGGCCGCCTCCAAGGAACCCCCACGAATAAGAGTCAAGTGCCCGCCCCCACCCGTCTGCCCCGTCCGCCCCGTCACCTGTCGTTGACGCGCTCGTACACGCGCGGCACCCCGGCGTCCTTGGGGCCCAGGTAGAGCTCGCAGTAGTCCTGGAACGCCTTGACGGGCAGCCGCACGCCGTTGAGGTACACCTGGGGGGGGGGTGGGGGAGTCGAGGGGTGGACGGGGTGGGTGTGGAGGGGTGTGGAACAGGACCATGCACGTGGCTTGTTGTGTGCGCGAGTGTGATTGTGTGTTTGCGTCGAGTTGTGTATGAAGCATGGGTAGGGAGTGGTTATCTGACGCGACGCGGGGCATGCGCGGCTCTGCAGCTTGTGGGTTCAATGACAGGGCAAGCAAGGGGCAAGGAAGTCCTTCCTTCGGCGCGCGCGCGGGGGTCCGACGGCGGCTCGGGAGCACATCGGGCGGGGGGCGCGCGACCGCACCTTGACGGTCTTGCCCAGCACGCCCGCAATGTCGTACACGCGCTTGTGCATCAGCGCCACCACGTCGTCCTCCAGCTCCTTTTGGGGGGGAGAGGGGGCAGAGGGGGCGCGGCGCACGGCGTGGGGGCAGCGTGGGGCGGCGGTGGTGCGGGGCGCACAGGGGCTTGCTGTTGGTGGCAGCGGGCCAGCAAGGTGCGGGACGCGGCGGGCGGGAGGAAGCCGCGGCGCCCGTATGGGGGCGAGTAGTGATGCTGAGAGGCAAGGGCGGCGAGAGGGGCGAGGTGGCACATGCCGGGGCACACCGCGAGCAGGCACTGTCGTGGGCGGCGGCAGGGTGGGGTTGCGAGTGGGCGTGGCGCAGACGGGTGGCATGGCGGTTGGGCTGGGTGCATGAGGGTGGGTGCCCACTGCCATGTCAAACTTGGCCAGGTCCGGCTTGAAGGTGATGGCGGTCCAGTTGTCGCTGGCCTTGCAGGGCTTGATCTCAGGGTTGGACTTCCTGGGGGTGGATGTGGGAGACACGGAGGGAGGGGTGGGCGG